TCAAGGTATTTAATGATACTATATATGCTCAAGGTATTATAAAGATACGATATATGCTCAAGGTATTTAATGATACGGTATATGCTCAAGGTATTCTAATATTCCATTGCAAAAGTACTGTAATTAATCTGGTCGGTAAACTTTTCGTTTTCATTTTAATTTAAAAAATTTTCACGCAAAAAAAAAATTATAGGCATTCATATTGCAATACTCCAGAAACCACAACAATTTTTTCAAGTCATGCATATATGTAGTCCACTATTCCCTAATTTGCTCATCTTATATTCGTACAAGTAAATAAATCTCGAGCTTGTAACTTTCCAACTTGCAGGATCATCAATATTTCTCAGCAATATATCCTTTCGGTTTCTTATGAATCCTTTCTTTGTGTGTTTAGAGGTTAAACTTTTCTCATTCTTATGTCCGAGCTTTCTACCCTTCAATTATTTAGAGCAAAACGTAGCTATCCCTTCTTAATCTTCCTGTCTTTTGAAACTTGCCAGTAAATATTCTTTCTATGGAATACCACGTTTACTTTCCATTATTTCTAACAGCCTCTAATTTACGAGTCATGAAGTTAATTTAACTAATTAATTAACGTTTAATGTAAGTTAATAAAAGTTAATTTGATTAATTAATTAATTATTTAAGAATTATATGAAGTTATGTATCTGTATAATTTATTTCTAAGACTTTTGCTACACTAATGCGTATAATTTGTCCACTAGGATCTCATCATACAACTTAATGAAGTTGTCCTCACGCAATTTATTTGCGTAACCCCCCAGCAACTGCAGAAACGCGTGTATGATTAATTAATTAATTATTTAACAACTATATGAAGTTATGTATCTGTATTATTTATTACTAAGACTTTTGCTGCGCTAATGCGTATAATATGACCACTAGGATCTCATCATACAACTTTATGAAGTCACGTTTCTGTTCTCACGTAATTTATTTGCGTTACCCCCAGCAACTGCAGAAACGCGTGTATGATTAATTAATTAATTATTTAACAACTATATGAAGTTATGTATCTGTATTATTTATTACTAAGACTTTTGCTGCGCTAATGCGTATAATATGACCACTAGGATCTCATCATACAACTTTATGAAGTCACGTTTCTGTTCTCACGTAATTTATTTGCGTTACCCCCAGCAACTGCAGAAACGCGTGTATGATTAATTAATTAATTATTTAACAACTATATGAAGTTATGTATCTGTATTATTTATTACTAAGACTTTTGCTGCGCTAATGCGTATAATATGACCACTAGGATCTCATCATACAACTTTATGAAGTCACGTTTCTGTTCTCACGTAATTTATTTGCGTTACCCCCAGCAACTGCAGAAACGCGTGTATGATTAATTAATTAATTATTTAACAACTATATGAAGTTATGTATCTGTAAAATTTATTTCTAAGACTTTTGCTAC